AATGCCAGATAAGATAAGCAATTAAATAATAAATAATGTTTATTATTAAGCAGTTGTCTGTGATGGTCTGACATTATATCCGGTGTTTTGTGAGACACTGTTTTATAAGGAAATATTTCGAAAATGCAAATTACGCTCCAAAGTCTGACGTTTGGCACTGTGCTCGTTGTAGCAGTAGGTACTGTACTTTATTACTATTTTAAAAGAAATAACAACAATACGCACACACAAGACGATTCCGATGATGGGGAATTCCCCTTTGGTGGTCCAGTCGACGAACGGTATTGCCTATCAAATCTATTATTGCAACCTGTAATATTGTTATCCTTTCAGTGCACGAAGGAGAAGGAACGGCAGTTTAGGAGACACGAAATGCGTAATTTGTTTAGATCCGTTAAGAATATTTATTACCCAAAGTCTACCTTGTAGACATGTTCTTCATTTACACTGCTTTCGTTTGTGGATAAGGGGGAACCAGGCAACGCCCGTCTGTCCTGTTTGTGGACGAAGTGCCTTCTGAAATAATTTGATATTGGTGAAAATCTCCGCTGCTGCAAAACGACTTAAAGACATTAAACCCATTCGGTAATTTCCTAGTCAATTGGTGGACAGATTTTCGCGAATAAGTGTACTGCGTATGTTACCAGAATCTTTTATATTGTACTACATTATACAATTAGAATAATCCTTTAAAAATTAAAGCAAAGGAAAAGTAAAATACCTACTATTTGAAGGTGAGTTTTAAGCAACACATTGACTAATTGCCTATTCACCTTCTCCTAGGCTATCGCTCTACCAAGAGATATTATACACTACAGCAGAAAGTACAGATTTCATGCTATTGTAGCTCAAAAACCGTAGACAAAATGGAGCTGTCCTCCTGAAAAGGGACAAGCTTTCTTATGAAGCAAAGATTCATTAAAATGTGTAACATCCCCCTAAAAAATATCTGTTCGCGTCATAAAAAATCCTCACCAAGTCTTCGAACCAAATCTTTTATGAAATCTTGTTTGGCCGCTGCCTCATACATAAGTATATAATTAAAATATTAACCTTTGTCCGTACCCTTTGTCCCTCATTTTGTAACACATAATTGCGGGACAACCAAGGGAGAGTATTGTAACGTGATTTATAAATTCGGGTTCGATTTATATCAATATTTATTAAACAAAACTAAAACACTATAAAATCCGTACAATTTATATCGATTATTTATATCACACACTTCGAAATTTATATCAGCTTTTCGCGCTCTATGTTTCGTCCGTACTCGATCTCGTTCGATAGTAGACTCCCGCGATGTTTGGTCCGCAACCATTTATACACGCAAGCAATGTAAGTCCCGAACATTCTCGAATACGCGTAGAAAATTCCAGAGCGCCAAAGGCGACGTCATGTCTGGAGCATTTCCGTTACAGTATATAATGTATGCTGCAGAAGAAATCCATCGCGTTCTAGTTTGCTTAAAAGTATTTCTACGCTCTATTCGTACTTTTAGTTGAGTACCTAGTTAAGTCTGAATATCCGTGAAGGCTAAATTGTGCCAAATTGATCCTTTGTCTACAAATTGCAACGTTAAACCGTTTAATCTCTATTAGCTATTGTATAACATTGAGGTGTGTTTTAAGGTCCAGTTTGCATTGGATTCCATGTTCGGGAAATCTTGAACATTCCCACAAGTTAGTTGAATATTGCAGTGTTCACATTGAGATGAGACAATGGATTGGAACATTAATGTTGGCTGGTCCTTTAAATATGTATCATTGCTTATGGGTTGAGCATGGAGGAGTTCAGGTACCTATAGAAATTACCGGGAACTAAGTCAAGGCAAAGTTACATCAGGAGTAATAGTAAACTTCAGTGAAAATCATCATTTGTTGAGAATCCAAGGTCTGGTGACTGGGAAGTGTTATAGATGTCATGAATTCGGCCATACTATGTCGAATTGTCCTGCGAAGAAGCTCGATAAAAAGAAAACTTACGGATAGACCATGTTTTTTTGCTGTATCGGCGCTGAAGTGTCCAGAAAAAGGATGGCTTTTTGATTCTAGCGCAATTTCGCACTCTTGGAGAATTTTCCAGTTTTGAAATTATGACAGCCAATAGCCCTACAATGGAAGGACAATTTTTTGAAAATGTCAGTTTGCCTGTGAACGTCATTAATCCGAACGAAAGTGTGAACTTACAGTATGTTCTCCATCTGCCGGAAATTCACACGAACTTACTTTCAATTCCAAAGATTGTGAGCAATGGAGATTCGGTTATCTCCAACAAGCAAGGATGCAGAGTTGTTAATCAGAACGATGAAGTGATTGCCAGTTGCAACAGGAAGTAATGTTGGATATTTGTTCAAGTTAGATAAACCGAATGGAATATGATATGTGTATCAATAGAGAAATCAAGAAGTTTGGCTGATATTTGGCACAAGCGTTTGGGACATTCTTGTAACAACAGTACACGAGTATAATATGGGTTGAACATCTTGTTAAGGGAATCGATCATGCTGCCTTGAATATTTCTATATGTTTATTGGGTAAGATTCCTCGTTTGCCATTTAGTAATGTTGGCTCAAGAGCAACAAAGGGGAAACAAGTACCATTTTTGGTGTACTCCAAAAATTCAAATTAATTCACGTAAATTCATATTAATTTATGCTAATTCAAATTTATTCACTTTAACTCAAATTATAGTTCACGGTAATTCGCGTTAATTTAAGTTAATTCACGTAAATCTAAATTAACTCACTCTAATTAAAATTAATTCACTTTAATTCCAATTAATTCGCGTTAATAACAATTCATTCGCGTTAATTCAAACTAATTCAATGTAATCCGTACAATTTCCGAGGGGGAAGCACATTGATACGCCATGAGCTGTGATGGAGTCACAAATTTGGGCCAAATAACATTGAGGAAATTTCATTACATTGGGAAATCGTTCCTAGGGTCGTTCACTACCTCATAAATCATAGATCGGTTTTGTTGACAGCTGTATCGTTTCGCTTCCCACTAGTTTAGTAACGTAACTGCCAAATGTCTAGTCAGTCCGTCAATTCCTGTTGGCGTAATTATGCCAAAAAAGTTCGAAATGGGTTCTAATAGTGTCAAAACCTAGATCATTTTCTCTTTCTGTAGTAGATATGACGATTGACGATGGTTAAATTAAACCAAAGATGCGCAATTAAAGAGTTATTATCATGCTTTAAAGAAAACGGGAAAATTTCGAACACTTCCGAAGAAAAACCGAATATTGCCGATATCGTTTTTATTTTTTTCTGATGTCTGATGTTGAACAGAGAGAAAACAAAATTAAAAAAACACTTTCTCATTGCTACTTTCTGAGCTCTAGAAGACAGCGTTAAGAGACGTTCACTAGAACGTTTTGTTTCGGAAAAATCATCGTCAACTTCATTTTTTTATATGGTTCGTAAAAAAAGTACATACTGTTTGAGAACCATTTTTTATTACGAATACAACGATGTACACAACAAAAAAAAACAAAAATTGGAAACTGTTGGTTTCAACGGGATGGCGCACTAGCGCACATCGCCCTAATAGTGCGAGAATACCTATATCGGGCGTATTTCCCATTTCCCCCGGAAATTCACGTTAATTCAAATTATTACACATTAATACAAATTATTTCACGTTAATTCGAATTATTTCACACTAATTCAAATTATTTCACGTTAAATCAAATTAATTCACACTAATTTAAATGATTCCATATTAATTCAAATGAATTCACGTTAATTCAAATGAATTCACGTTAATTCACATTAATTCTAACCAATTCACGTTAATTCTAATTAATTCAGAGGGGTGTACACCAAAAATTCAAAGTTGTTTCTCCCTAGTGTATACTTGAACTGCTTCACGCTGATGTTTGCGATCTCATGGAGGAAATTTTATGGAACGGTTCAAGGTATTTGGTTGTGATTATTGGCGA